TGCACCATCTTCGCACCAAGCGACAGAGCCATTCCACCGCTTGGCTCAGAGCGACCGGCTTAAGAACCCCGGCAACACGTAATGTCTCCACAAAACCATTATTAGCAAGCATCTCCTTAGGCCAGCCACACCAATCTTTTATCTTGCCAGACGAGAAGGCAAAATGAATTGGCACCAGTAGCAAATCTTGCCTTTCGAGTCTTGCGTGCATGACATCACGCTGTGAAGGGAACCATGCCGAACCAACATCACTTCCTTTGAAAGCCTCAAGTATGAGCAAATCTTTCTGTTTCTCGGATGCTCGTCTCGCCGACCAAGCATTAAACTCCAGGAAACTGTCCTGGAAGGTGTACCATGGGTCATGGTACGACTGCACTTCGTCAGTTGAGTAAGGATCAGCCATCTCCTAGGGCTTTCATCGAAGAAAAGAAAAGGAGGGGAAACAAGATCTCATATCAGTAAAGGTATAAAGAATCTACAGCATGCAAAAAAAAAAAAAAGTGAAGTAGAGAAACAAAGATTCATCGTTACCTTGTTAAGAAAAGGATCTTGTCAAAATCGCACACTGGTTCAACCTCCACGAGGAAATCTGGCCACTTCATGAAGGAATCCAAAAGCTTTTATGAAGGATGTGATGAAAACCAGGGACGCAGAGGAGAGAGAGAAGGGTTCGTCAGTTTAGCAAAAAAAAAAAAAAGAAGAAAAGAAGGGGGAAAACTGAAAGGGTTTGCCAAGGAACAAGGAGAGTGGCAAAAAGGGAAATTAAGGCCAGTATTAAGTGCACTAGCCAACTGCTCTACCACATGTCACGCATCAACATGGCCAGGAGCTATCGAAGGGGTGGCAAGTAAGGTACATGCTACTTTAGTACACGTGCTTGCACCAAATACCTTTGAAATCTCCCTTTTTAATGTGCCATTATAATAAGATTCTTTGGGAAGATTTAGTTTCTTTGTTTTTCAAAAAGGGAGTTATTTTTCTATCCAACTGTTGAAAACTTCCCTGGAGAATAGTTTGGAATTTTCTTTAGATCTGAACTGTAGATGAACAGTTAAAAAAGGGAAGAGGTACACCTTGCATGGGATTCTTGGCGAAGATGTGATTGAAAGCATGCATGCAAGCTTTGTATTTACATCGATCGGGGTATTGGACATTCTTAGAATCATGCATGAGCCTCCTTCAGAAGACTATTTTGATAGAGTTTGCCAAGAAAGTTTCAGTCGGATTTGCCACTCCCAATGGTTCTGAATCTTTTGGCTAGAGTTTCACCTCGACCTTGTCTAATTCTAGTTTATGTTGAAGCTCCGCCAGCAACATTGAAACCCACGGTTGGAGTTTCCTCAACATCAGCAAACTACTCAGCTGACACTAAATCTGGGTAATCCCAAATCTTTTAAGTCGCATCCACTTCAACAGAAGGATTCACATTGATCATCCAGCCATATGAGGAACATCCCAATAATCTATCTCCCTCAACGCCAAACGACCAAACTTATTGTCACAACTTCGCTCGCTTGGGGGGCTAATGTTGAGGGATGAATTTACATGGTTGCAAAACTAATGACATGTGTAGTCCACATCAACAAAGGACCACAATGCTTATCTTCCTATATCCGATGTGTGATTCCAATTTTCTACTAATTGCTACTGTGGATTCAACATCGCCAAAGGGGGGCACTTATTGGCTTCGTTGAAAATATCGCAGAATGTGACTCACTCTAGCATCTATCTCCACATACATGGCCAAACATGGCTAAGTCTATTTTGGCAACATGGCTGGGCGCTTCTTGACGGCCATGTCCTTTACAACGATGTTTTCTACTATATCTTGCGGCTCCCAACAATGGACAAAGAGCCTATTTTGCTACATGGCTCTCATCAAAGGACAACGGGCTAAGCTATATAGCTCCTAATGATGGACAATGAGCAGAGCATCCACTCCTATATATCTTTATCACTGGTTCCCATCAATGGACAACGAGTTAATCATATTACATTTACATAGCTCCCAATGATGGATAAAGGACCAAATCTACTACATATCTATCTCACTAGCTCTAGGAAATGGACAAAGACTCAGCGAAACTCGGTACAATTAGCGTGAGGCCAATAATAGTTGCAACCTTGCAATCGAATAGGATGGCTACCCTCTAGTGATGAAAATCCATCAAGTAACTGTCGGTGGTCCCTTGGTGGTCACCCGTGCATGGTGGTGTACTGCTCGATGGGCAACAACAACCAGGACCACCTTTTGACAGTGCAAGTACGACAAGAAGGGCTAGCGTTTGTCAATGGTATCACACCTTGTCGTATTACGGGCCATGGATGTGGCTGGCGTCCCTCATCCATGGAGACAACTCCATCTCTCTCTATCACATCTTCATCATTATGGCAGAGTCTAGATTAACGAGATTTACCCCTTCGCGACTCAGTGAAGGTTGGCGCTAGCGATGTTGCCCGATTTTGCCAAAAAAGGCTAGGTGGCAAAGGTGTGGAAACAAACTTAACTTCCAGAATAGTATCATTTGATGCTAACCAGAGGCTAGAAATCCCATTGAAGATCGACTGAAGATGTTGTTTGAATCACCATCAGCAACTTGCAGCCATAATTAATGCAAGGGTGGCTACACAAGTTTCATAGCCTCGAAAACTACTATGGAAGATCACTATTTGCTTGCAAAATCTCCCAAAAATCCCGAACAGAGCCTGGGGAACTCACCAAATCACTGTGCAGGTGGTGTTTCTGCTGGTTGCACTCAAGCATCCCCCAAAAACAGAGTTTCATATGGCTTGAAGAATTTCCAATAATGGTCAATTTCCAATCCATCATTGGAACCAACGAAGCTTCGCTGGAACCAACGAGGTTTCGTTGGAACCAACGAGCAACTCATGATGCTAATGCTAGAGCAACCGTCAATAGTGCTGGAACCTCTCTAAGCTTGACAACTCACTTGGACCCATTTTTACATTTCTAACATATTAACTAGAATTACAGAACTACCTTGACTGCATATATCATCCCTCCCTTACCATTCAAAAAGGCACACGCACAGGATAACCCAGATCTTCTTCTCATGCATCAGATTCCCATTCTTCCTCCCTCATAAAAATTACTCTACTTGCAATCCATCATCCCGCATGTTAAAAGCTACCCAAAAATCATCATTTCTCTATATCTCCAATCTTGTAGAATGACTTCAAGCCTCGCATGATAATCTCCAATATCGTAAAGTATTCCCAGATTTGTAGGATATTGTGGTTGGAAAACAACAGCTTACAATTTCGTCACCCATGTAATTCTTCTTGAGCATCAGACAATCAAGCCACATGGCTAGCATCACAGAATGGGATTGAGAGTTCCACCTATAAGCGTCCCCAAGGGAACACCTTTCCTTCTCCTATCACTATTTTTGAGTTTATCTTCCTCATTTTCTTTGTTCTTGAAGAAATTTCAGAAGGAGGGTCATTACACCCTTCGTGTTCAACATGAGAGTTATGCGTTATAAGGTGAAAATGTTCACTAAAGATGACAGGGGTTTTATTTGGTGTCATTACTACTATGTCATGGTGTTCTATGTGTAAAGGCAACTTCAAAATTGTAATCTTTGAACCCCATATGTTTATCATCTTCGTCACCCTTCCGGCCATATATGCATACTCTTATTGATGGTTTTAGTAGTTGTGTAATGATTCCGAGTCGGCAAGAAGTTTGTTGTCGCTGTTTGGCTCTAGTAACTTGGCCAGGGGATTTGTGTTCTGCAACTTTGCCGGGGAGTTGGCTGTTTGATATCATCACTAGACAGAACAGGATGGCTCGTAGCGTGTAGCCATGTGCACGTGAGACGGGTGCCACCGAAAAAACCCCTCCTCATCTCCTCAGGTGTCATCTTAATCAGCCTCCACATCATCACTGTTGTTGACTCATCAACCTACATCAACAGCACACCCCAACACTTGCTAAAAAACCACTATAAGACCATAAACCAATCTTAAACAATTAAAATCAACCAAACCAACCAAACACACTCAGAATATACTGCTACATTATTTTTTTTTATACATATACTGTAACATAATTATCATTGCATAAAACCCTAAATTGATTGGGGTTTAACACTTGTGATTTATGCATTATTCCAACCACAACAATCAGTCATTGATATCCAAAGCAAACCAAGAACATTTCTTTTTTGTGCCAAATCATGTATATCAAATACTTGGGGTTGCAATGGCATTCCTAACCAATCCCAGCATGTCACAAACCTCCGGATATAGTCCTTTCCTGGTCTCAGCGTACACTTCCCCTTTCCAGTTCCTTTTTGTCAACTCCTCTCCCAGGCGCACGCTAGCCTTCCTCACCTCATCTTCGTTATCATGCGCCGCCTCCACAATCCCCATCTTCACGGCTTCATCCTCTCTTATCTTCCTCCCGCACATCAATGATTCTCGTCGAGCCGAAGCTGAGCTAATCTTGGCGATTACCAGGGCGATGAAATAGTCCGGGAGCGTGAGACCGATATCGATTTCACTCATGTAAAGCACGCCTTTGTCGCGCCTCATAAAGACGTAGTCGTGGCTGAAGGCGAGCATCAGGCCGGCGGCAACAGCGTGACCTGTCATGGCGGCGATGGTGGGCATCGTGAGGGAGAGGAACGCGCCGATGATCAGTTTGAAAGATTCGACCATGTGATGTAGTCATCCTGCGGCCCCTTCCTTGGATCTTGCAGCTCGGGCCCAAGCGATCAAAGCCATTGGAGAAGAATTTTCCGTGGGAGATGGTGATGAGGACAAAGGCTTGGGTGACTTGGGCTTTGACTTGGGAGAGAGTCGATAGGATGGTGGTGATTAAGGTGGGGTCGAGGCGGTGCTCCTCGTTGTTGGTAAGGATTAGGATGAAGAGATTGCCACGCTTCTCTAGGGTGCACATTGTTGGATGGAATGGTAGATCTCGGTGGGCTGAATAGTAACTACTGATAGAATGGGTTGCCTTGAAATTGGTTAAGGCGGGAGATAGTCAAAGTATGCCGCCTTTTTTCCCCCTTGCTTCTTATCCTCGCTGGTCTTACTTTTGTCTCAGGTGTTTTTGTTGGCGTTCCGGCAATTAAAAAAAAAAAAAAAGGTATGACATCTCTGCAACTAAAAAAAAAAAAGTATGGGGTCTGAGCAAGCGGGGAGGTAAAGTGGGCAAAGTGATCCCATTCTTGTACAGATGACAGTACATGTGAAAAAAGAAATAAAACAATGGGTTTAATTGCTGATCATTTAGGATTTAACGATTAGTAGTGACGGTAACATAAACGGTGTCAAGGAAGGGACGAACAATGAACCGAAAAAGAGGAGTAGAGGGACGATGTTTGGCTCTTAGGTAGAGTAGAGGGATGACATCGAACAAATCCTTAGTAAAGGGAGAAAAATGAATAAAATATGAAAGTAGAGGGATAACATTTGGCTTTAAACCATTTTTTTATCGATTGGATCGTATGTTTCCCTTCAACTCTCATAAAAAAGGTGAAACCTCCTTTGCGCCCATTTAGTTCATCTTTAGATATAAAAACTTTTGTTTTGGTTTCTAAAATTTGGAAATTTAATCCTATTTTAGCCTTTTTTGTTCCTTTGTTAAAAATTTGTTCACGTGGCTCATCACTTAAAATTAATGTTTATTAATTAAATTTTTAAAAAATTAAGAAAAAAATTTTAAAATTATATTATTTTCTTAAAATACTAAAAGTTTGATCTTTTTTAAGTTTTTTTTGTTTCTCTGTTAAAAATTTGTTTACGTGGTTCATCACTTAAAATTAGTGTTTAT